GGTTCAACGAGCTTTACAGATTACTACTTTCAAGAAGAAAAATAATTCGAACGGCGAAGAAGTTACGAGCTTTAGTAACAATCTCTTTCTTTTTCTTCTTCGACGAACATTTCCCTACAGTCTTCTACTACTTTTTTTTTTCTTCCTTTTCTTATCCTTTCTTTTTTTTTTATATTTTTTCTTTTTTTCTTTTTCACGGTACTATAATTTACTAAAAAATAAGCAACATGAAAAGAGAGAAAAATGTTCGAATAGTTTTCTATAGGATAAAAATAATTAAAGGATTAATTTACTGACTAATAAGTAGACCATTAAAATCAAAATAGTCTTATACCGTAGTCTTTTAAATATCACCAAAGCCTAGAAATATAAAACCCAACAGCTAACCCTTAACTAACGAGTTTCTTATTCCTCTAGTCTCATTATAAAAGAAATCTAATGTAATTATTTAAAAAAATAAAATTATAAAAAGGAAGAGTATGAAACACCGAGAAAAAAAGGTTGTGGAAGAGGGGAGGGGGGGCTGGGTTAGCAAAACGAGTTTGAAAAGGATTTGATGAAGCATCCACCTGTGGCACACTCACGTTATACGCGTTGGTGAACGTGATCTTTGAACTTTGAACTCTTTCGGATGAAAACGAAGATCGGTTCTTGTTATCGTGGAATGAAAAATGTCGCTAAACTATTATAGTAGTAGTACGGAATGCGTTTTAGGTTGAGTTGTGTTCTGGATTGTTAGAATGATGGAAATATAGGAGGACGAGGTTGAGTCGTGGAATTCGATTGCTCGGGATTTGCTCAAATTAGTAGTTAACAAATTAACGCTTCTGGTAATGCACATAACGAGTTTGCGCGTTGGTAAACTCGCTTAGTCGAATAACGAGGAACTAGCATGAGCCGTGCAGTTTAGGTTCGGATTTAGGCTCGGATTTAGGCTCGAGTTTAGGCTCGTTTACATTCAGTTTCCAACCAATTGAAAACAAAGATGTCAGTTTACCCGTTCACCGAACGAAATCATTTGATATCATTGATTTAATTTCGTGTCAATGTAAAATTATCATTTCATAGTTTTTTTTTCTTATATTTTCGTTATAATTTTTGTAAATCACATTCAACCTGATCGAATATAGTTAACGACATTTTATGAATACTATTGTAACAGTTTGGAAAAAGTTTAATTATTTTATTTTGTACTTTTTTAACTAACCAATATTTTAGTACTCTAATTTTACTTTAGATTTGTCGTTCATTTGTAATCTGATACGTTGTGTTTAAGGAATCGTTAAAAAATCTTTCTCGTTGACATATTAAGTTTGTCGATCTTCTTTAACGTTCAACAATCTTTCTCGTAAGCCTATTGGTCGATATATCTTGCTTATAAAACAAGCTTATCTCGATTTTGCCTCATCACCCCTCCTTCAGCATTTGCCCCATCCCTTTGACCTACGATTTGTCAAAAGCAAAGAAAACGTCACCTGCAAACGAATCCTCGATATGTAAGAACTACCAATCTTCCTTTTTTCATTTTTTTTTTTTGCTTTTTTTACGTTCGAATCGATAAATCCACTTTTTTATTCTTTCTTTTTTTACGATCTTAAAACTTTCCGTACTTTTTCTTGGATATTTTCTATTAAAAGATAATAATTCGATGAATGTCTATCGTTGATTATTCAATTTCGTGTTTTTTTTTCGATTCCAAGTGTCAGTTGAAATTTAATCATAGAAGAATTAAACTATAGTTTAATTATAGCACCTTTTTTTTACAGTTTTTTAATCGAATTAAAACAAAGAATTGCATTTCAGCGTTATAAGGGTCACGAATGATCCACCAATAAGATAAATTTATTACATATTATTATTTACTTTTATTTATCCATTCTAAATAATATTTTAACAAATTTTCGTAGTAACATTGGGCAAAACATAGAAAATAAATGTGGCATTCAAGGTGTAAAAATATATGAGAATTTTGTTTGTCCATTTTCTCTTTTTCTTTTTTATTTTATTATTTTTTTTTATTTTTTTAAATAATGTAACAAAGATTTTACACGTCAGACGCGGTTGGAAAGAATTTCTCTCACATGAGATAAAAAGAATTTTTCTAACTAAATGTAAAGAAAATCTCTAGGATCATAGGGAATGATTTATTAGCTACTTTTTCAAAGCTTTTCTAATTTATCTTTCTTCATAGATATCAATGTCATTCGAAAGTCGCACAGTACGAGAATTTTCTTGTTTATTTCACTTTTCTATTATTTCTATAAATATTATCATATTTTCTCAAGAAGAATTTGTAGAAATGGAATGCAGAACTTATGACTGGTAACTCAACATAATGTAGGAATTAACGAGCGTATATACGTCTCGTCAAACATGATAAAATTCGTCGATATATTGTACAGGTTAAATGATTATGACGAAGATTCGATGATTGAATTATGCCAAAAGCTGTCATTGAATTATACGACCTATGTCTACTGAAATATCGATGTTAAATACAAATTGTCGTTCTCTGTATCGAGAATACAGTCTCTTGGTAATATTACTAATATCCGATTTTACGAAATTTATTAAGTCAAATACAATCTGCTATCAAATTTTGATACGTAAAATTATTCTCTACATATTGATATAAAGTTATTAAGTATTTAATTAGAATTAAAATAAATAAATACGATTTTTTGTATATAAATTTTCTAAACGTCAACTCGTCGACGTACTTAAAATTTGTGTATGTGTGTGTGTTTTTTTTTATTTAATATTCTTGTTGCTGTAAATATAAATTTTCATTAGTGAGAAAACTCTCGCTTTTCTTATTTCGAAAAGATTAAGTACTAGAGAATTCTTGCGTAGTTGCATTATATTGGTTCACAGATTTATAGGTGATATAAATTATTCTATTAGAAAGCTAAAGGAGTATTAATTATTGTACACAAGGTAGAAGAACCATAAGGAAAATTTCTTATGACAAAGTAGCACAAGACGAACGTAATTTTAGCCTTGTGACACGTTTCGCTAGCGAATTAATATTGAGTTTAGTTACTGTACCACAAACTCTAACGTTTAATCCTTTATAATTTCCTTATTCCTGTAAATGAGCGTCAAATTTTCTTAAACCATTTTAAATTTGATTCGAATTTCTTATCTTTGACTTTAATATCCATTATGTAACCTTACTTTGAATTTTATTAGGCGAGAAAAATATTATAAAACGATCGCTCATTCTTATTAAAATAAAATAGTCCTTTCACTATTTTTTTATTTATTTTACTTTTTAGACAATCAAATATACAACATTTTTAATTCATTTATATATATA